AGGAGAATGTTGGTGACCTCCTCTCACTACCCCTGCCTCTGCTCTCGCTTGACCCCTAGCCTCCCCCAGTTGAGCTGCGGGCTGCAGCCCTTCGTGCAGAGATCACTGATGCTGAAGGCCTGGGCTTGAAGCTTGAAGATAGAGAGACAGTTATCAAGGAGTTGAAGAAGTCACTCAAAATCAAGGTGAGGGTGTAGGGTAGGCTCAGGAGCTAGGGGGCTGGGAAGTATGCTGAGGTACAGGTCAGCACTGAGTGTTGGGGATCTCCTGGGGCTGAGACTGGTTGAGGGTTGAGGGCACCTGTGATCAGTGTGGGGAACAGCTGTGGGCCTTTAGGAGCTTTCTGGTTCGTGCTCTGTCACAGGTCCCTGGGGGGGATGTAAAGGATGTAAAGGAGGGTGTAAGGGAACTGGACACTCTGACCTTCGCCAGGGGGAGGAACTAAGTGAGGCCAACGTGCGGCTAAGCCTCTTGGAGAAGAAGCTGGACAGTGCTGCCAAGGATGCAGATGAGCGCATCGAGAAAGTCCAGACTCGCCTGGAGGAGACCCAGGCACTGCTGCGGAAGAAGGAGAAGTCAGGCACCTTCCCTGGGCCCCTGCTTTTTCCACCCCTCCACCCTGCCAGCCAGTCTCCCTCCTAACTCATCCCCCTGTCCAGGCCCTATCAGAGTGAGACTCTCCCCAGGGGAGCAGATGCCATCTCCTTTCCCCACTGCCAACACCATTGTGTCACCCCAGTCATATCATGTGCTGCTGCTGGCTCCTCACCAGCAGGGCTACTCCAAGGACCTGTCTGGACTGAGAAATGGGGACGGGGCTCTGGGGAAAGGGCATTGCCCAAGCCCGGATTTCTTTTTCGCAGAGAGTTTGAGGAGACGATGGATGCACTCCAGGCTGACATTGACCAGCTAGAGGCAGAGAAGGCAGAGCTAAAGCAGCGGCTGAACAGCCAGTCGAAGCGCACGATTGAGGGGCTCCGGGGGCCCCCTCCCTCGGGTATTGCTACCCTGGTCTCTGGCATTGCTGGTGGTGAGTGCAGTGGGACAGGCACCATTGGCGCAGAGGAAATTGAATGGCCTCCCTCCTGTCCTTGGCCTCAGTTTGACTTCTACCCGCCTCTTACTGGACGTTCAGCTAGGAATGTGCTCGCCCAGTTTCACTCTGGCAGTTTTTCACCAAGTTTTTACTTCTCCTGAAGATATGTGCAGAGGTTCCCCCCGCTCCCCCAGCGCTGATCAAGGTGGGGCATTACCAAGCTGACCTCAGAATTACCATAACAGTTAGACTCTAGCATATGTCCCTTTTGGACCTGCAGTCTGGCCTTTCTGTCCCAGCCCTATATCCCAGAGGGTCATCAGCCTGCAGCAGATTGGGCTAACTCTGCTGCCGTATCCAGCCATGCCTGGTTCCTGCACTTGATTGCTTCTCTGCTTACACTTTGCATTTCCCCCTACAGAATTCACATGCCTTTACTCCATGGTGTGGTTGTCTGTCCCGTTGCTGACTTCTCCCACTTGGGGCTTGTGTACTGACCTCTGCCTGGTCTCCAGTGTGGTCAGGGCTCCTTACCTGGAGTTTTTCTGGTTATTGGGCCCAGGCTCCCCAGTTTTCTTGGATCATGGAGGTGGCTACTGCCATGTTAGTTCTCATCTGCTCTATAGTTTTCCAGTTTCTTACCTCCAAAAGACAGACTTCTTGCCCTAAAGCCCTCAAGATCTCTAGAGCTCCCCTGCTATGCCTGTCTTGTCACCTGGCCTCACCTAGGGTCTTGTTCTCATCAAAGCCCCCCTCACTGGTGCCTCTTGATCTTGGGAGGTGACCAAGTACCCTGTTGACTTTGGACTCCTGTGGTACAGTGGGCTCCTGTTCTTTGGGGAAGGGGTCTCCAGAAGTTACCACGTTGTGTTGTTTTAGCACAGGCTTTTTAAACAGATACCGGTTCAAACTTAACAAAATTTCCCACCAAAAAGAGTGTCTTTCGCCTCAGAACAGTGGGGTACCCAAGGAGCAGGAATGTGGCTGCATCTTCAACTTCAGCTTTTCTACTGCGGGAAACAAGGGTGCAGACATCTCAGGGTCTTGGGAGCATCCCCTCTGCCCTTCTTGGAGATGGAATATGAGGCAGAGAGGCTGGAACGCCACATGCCCCAAGTGCTTCCTCCACGCACACCCCCACTGCTGTTCTTCCTTATGCTCTGCACCCTGTCTCATGGCCTTATTCCTCTTAGCTTTCCTTCACACGTATTTGCTCGTACCCCAGATGCAGAGGGCAGAGGCAGGGTCTTATTAGAGGAGGAGTGATTAGGGTTTCCCTGTAGGTTGTGACCAGCATTCCTCTGGCGTGACCTCTTAGCCCCAAGTTGTCTAACTCCTCTCTCCTCTCTTCCTGCTCCCCCATGGGCTATTCCGATCACAGAAGAACAGCAGCGAGGTAGAGACCCGCCCTGGTGGGGGGTTACTGGGGCTGTGGGAACCCACCCTGGTGAGGGTTACCAGCCTGGGGGAGCAAGCAGGACTGGAGGTGGGAGTGGATAAGGAGAGGGGTTGAGTGGAGATGGGGCCCATCTTCAGCCCTCTCCACTTGGAGCTGATGGCATTTGTCTTGGTACACACAGGAGGCACCCCCGGGCAGGTACCAGGGTCTGTTGCAGGCCCTGGGCTGGTGAAGGATTCACCCCTGCTGCTGCAGCAGATCTCTGCCATGAGGCTGCATATCTCCCAGCTACAGCATGAGAATAGCATCCTCAAGGTGAGTTGTTCACAAGGAGGACTGGGGTGCAGGTGGAGCCCCCCTGCCCCATTGATGATAGATGGCAGGGCCTTCTGTCACCTCTCACTGCCATTCCTCTTCTTTCCTTCACAGGGAGCCCAGATGAAGGCATCCTTAGCAGCCCTGCCCCCCCTGCATGTGGCAAAGCTCTCACCCCATGAGGGCCCTGATAGTGAGCTAACAGCTGGAGCGCTGTATCGTAAGACCAGCCAGCTGTTGGAGACGTTGAATCAACTGAGCACGCACACCCACGTAGTAGATATCACTCGTACCAGCCCTGGTATGGAGCCACCAACCCCTGAGATTAATAATATACCCCCTCCCTTTGCCCCAGGGATGTAACCCCTACCCAGGCAGCTGCCATACTGTAGAGGCTCTTCCTGGCATTGCTTTTTGGCCTCAGTGTTCAATTTGCTTGATTCACCCATTACGTACCTGCTCCATGAGAAGGTCTAGTATCTTCACTTTCTGACTCTTAATCCAGTATAGCTGCCTGCTTGGGCCTTGGTGGGCCTCACTAGCCTTCCCTCCCCACAGCTGCCAAGAGCCCGTCGGCCCAGCTCCTGGAGCAGGTGGCTCAGCTCAAGTCCTTAAGTGACACCATCGAGAAACTCAAGGTTAGCTCAGACCCTGCCCTTCCTCAGTCTACAGAGTTTGCTTCATAGTGTTCCCTGGTGGAATCCTTAGCACATTTGTTTCCACAGGCACTCCCATATTTCCTTTGAGCCCAGCCCTGTGATAAGAGGTAGAGGGCAAGGTGGGGTTCCTGCTTTGGAAGCTCACTGTCCCAGTGCAGACAGAAGACAGATTCTCATCAACAAAATGGGTTGAGCTAGGATCATCTTGAGAGTGTGTGGTTTGGGTGCAGCTTCTTCAGTGCTGAGATCACTGTGGGGTAGAATGGTTGTGGATGGCTTCCCAGGGGCCGTAGAATCTGAGTTGGACCTTAAAGGATAAGGATCTGTAAAGTAAGGATATTGGATAGGGATGGGGTTGGAGAGCAAAAGTGTGATGACAGAGAGGACCGGGTCCCTGCCCCCTGATATTAGTGTCCCTGTGAAGCCAGGGAGATACTGGGCTAGCCTGTGCGGGTCCCCTAAATGAACCCTTGTTCCACTCCTTGCCAGGATGAGGTCCTTAAGGAGACCGTATCTCAGCGCCCTGGAGCCACGGTCCCCACTGACTTTGCCACTTTCCCTTCATCAGCCTTCCTCAGGGTAAGAGGGAGCATCGGGGGGAGGATGGGCAGTATTGAGGGCTCACGCGGGTCCTTCCCCTCTCCTCCAGAATATGAAGAGGGTTTTGGGGTCTCAGGTCCAACAACTGCACATCCTGAGTTGCCTGTCCAAGTCTTACTTATAAGGGACTCAAGAGTGCTTGCAGTGCTTCCAGAAATTCAGTATTTTAGCAGTTAAACATCTATGATTTTTGACACCAGGAGAGACTCAAAACTCCCGTGTCAGACTATGTACCTCAATTCTGATTTGAAATATGTGGTCACCATAGTTTAGGATCCTCAAAGCCTATCTCGCAGGGACTGCCTTAGTCTCCATGCTCAGAGGCCTTGTGAGTGGCACACAGCTCAGGTGACCTCTTCCCCTTGCCAACTCCCAGGCCAAGGAGGAGCAGCAGGACGACACTGTCTACATGGGCAAAGTGACCTTCTCGTGCGCAGCTGGCCTTGGACAGCGACACCGGCTGGTGCTGACCCAGGAGCAGCTGCACCAGCTTCATGGTCGCCTCATCTCCTAAGTGCTCCTTCTCCTCTCCCACACCCACCCCTTGCCCCATCCACTTCTACCCTCAGCCCTCCTGGTGCCACTCTGCCTGATGCACAGCCACCTCAGTTAGTCCCCATTGTAGAACCGTGTGTGTACAGCTGTTCCTGCCCTACTCAGCTTCACTTCTGCCAGTCAGTGCCCTGCTCCTGCCCCTCGACTTGGGTTCCCCTATTTCCATTCCCTGGCCTCTGCCAGAATTTGCTGTTCAGCTGTTCCCTCCTTCCTGAGGGGCCTCAGGGCATGTGGGGGATAGGCTGAGACCCCACCACCAAAGGTTCAGTGAGGTCCCCCTGATAGAGGACTTCACCCCTTGATTAAAGCAACTTCTGCTTCAGTGCTTTCTGTGTGTTGTTGGGAGTGGGACTTGGGCCTTTCAGCTCAGAGTGGGAGTGGAGAAGAAGGGATGCTGAGGAGGCTTTGGCTGTGCCAAATTTGAGAGACCGATAGAATGTTCACGTGCAGTAAGTTACTGTGAACAAGGGGGAAAGGGCTGGACCAAGGGCTTGGCACCTAAGTTCATCTTCAGTTAGGAGAGCTGGGACTTAGGCTCAGCTACCCAACCTCCATGTGTCTCTCAACCAGTTCCTGTTGACGGCAGAGGGACCTTTCCAGATGCAAACTGGGCCATGTTATTCCTTGCTTTAAATCCTGAAATGATTCTTCCAACTAAAATGTAAAATTTAGATAAAACCCTGAAATAGTTTCTCTAAGTATCTAGAGTATAAAATTTGAATTCACTAGAATAGCACACCTACTAGAATAGGCTGTCTATGATTTGGGTCCTGCCCACCTCTCCATCCTCTTGTGGGTCTACTTGTCCACATGTGCCTTGTGGTCTAGCCTTAGTGAATCCCTACGGTTTCTTTGCCACCCTGTGCTCTCTCAGACTCCTTTCCACTGCTCAGAATGCTAGCCCCCTCCTGCCCTCTGCTCCACCTCCCTGCCCCCATCCCACCTCAGGTGACATCCTGTTCATGTATTAAGACCACTCTGACATTGCCACCTTAGGGAATCTCCAATTCCTGTTGCTTGTTAGGTGCTCCTCTTCTGGACGGAGCAGAGAATATGAACCTTTTTTCCAGGTGTGCTTGGATTTAGTTGTTTTGTTACTTGGCAAGGTCTCTAATCTTTAGTCTGTTTCTGAATCACAGCATGGAAAGAATGATACCTTACAGGGTTGCTGTGAAGGCTAAATGAGATAATGCACATGGGCTTCTAGCGCCGTGCCTGGTGCACGGCAGGCTTTCCTCTCTTCCCCAGCACACACACCTGCAACACTGCTTTATGCCAGGAAGCCTCTCTTTCCATTGTAATCGTTAGTTAACCCATCTGTCGCTCACTTTAGACAAACTGAGAGTTCCAACAAGATGTCTTTTATTTCTTCATCCCCCCAAACACAGGAGAAGAGTACATGTTTGGGGACGAGAACTGTGAGTTTCATTTTGAAAATGAGTTTGAGGTGCTTGTGAGAATGCCCGAGTGCAGATGGCCATTGGCAGTTGGAGCCAGCTGGGTCTGGAGTTTAGAGAAGTCTAGGTTGGAGATACAGGTAGGGGAACGAGCTGTGTCATTGGTGGTTGGAGATTTGGATGAGGTGTAGTGTCTTAGTTCAGGTTCCTCAGAAAATTGAGCCGGAGGCAAAGCTGAAGTGCTAGTGCTTAAGGCAGCTGCAATCTCCAAGCACTGAGATGGAGGAAGAGGATTGAGGGAAGCTAGGCAGGGAAGAAAAAGAAATGAGGTATGTTTTTAGGAGTTGGCCGCTGCTTCACAAAGACACAGCTAACCCCTTGCCTGTGTGTACTGTCTCTGGATAGACTGTTGAGAAACACTGTGCCCAGCTGGAACATTCCATTGGGATTGATGGAAGGATGGAGAGCAGATTCACCTCCTCTTCCTCCTGTGTTCTTTTGTTGCTCCAAATTTTCCCTCCCTCACTTGCTGGGATTGCATTACTTGGCCACCAGGAAAGCCGGATCCCATGCCCTGCAGCCATCCAAGTCCTGAAGTAGTGAGGTGAGCAGAAAGGCACTGGCCCAAAGGACTTGGCCAAGGCAGAGCAAGCAACTGAAGGCCTGGAAATCAGGTGAGGCCTCAAGTCACCCGAGGAGAGTGTCCAGGGCAGGGGGAGGCAAGATCCCGGGGCAGTCCTGAGTGTTACAGAGCCTGCAGTGGAGCTCAAGGGAGCATCCATTGGAGAAAGGTCCCCAGAAGAAGTGTCACAAGGCCAAGGAGGAGAGGTAGTCAGCAGGCTCTGATACAGCTCAGAGGTCCTGTGGGCTGCATTCTGGAAAGTAGCACCTGATTCTCAGATGCCTGATGAGCTGACCAGAGCAGTCTTGGTGGGATAGAGGGAGCAGAAACTGGGGCATGGTGGCAAGAAAGGGGAGAGAGCAGCGTGTGTGCACTGTGTCCCAGTGTTCAATCGTGGAAGCTGATGCAAGCATCACTACAGATGGTAATGGGAGCTCCTCATGGGGCCCAAGAGGTTTCTGGAAACTGGGATGTGATGATGGGGTAGAGAAGCCTAGTGAGGCACCCTGTACCAAGGATGGAGCACAGCATGGGAAGAACCTCCTTTGATGCATCCACTCAACTCCCAGTTGTGCCATGAGAACCAGGCAGACTGGCTGGCGATTGGCAGGGACAGGGTATAAACAGTCTCAATTTTGTCACCTAGGAACCCCTCTCTTTTTGGGGTTTTCTTGGGCAGATTCCTAGGGTCAACATCAATTTCCCCAATATAGCAGCTTTGTGAAGTAAGAATAAGGCTCATATCCCAGCTCTTCCTCTTATAAGCTGTGTGAATTTGGGCAAGTTGCTTAAGCTCTTGTTTTCAGTTTCTGTATCTGTACTGAGGCTAATAGCACCTTCCTCAGGTGGTATTCCTTCCACAGGTAATTTCTAGGGGAAGATTAAATGAGATACCATGTTTGACACAGGTACTCAATAAAAAAGGATATTTGGGAGAGGCTGAAACTGAATAAATGAAATACAAGTAGCCATGTTCCTAAGACATACATTTATGACACAAATAATCATATTTTGGGTCCCAAGGGATAGGCAGTCCTTGGCGCTCAGCTTTTAGCTTGTTTTCATGGTCTGTTACCATCTTACTTTCTGCCGTCCAGGTACTGTTTCCTCCTACTCTTAGCAGGCCAAGACTGAAGGAGAATCAAAGGTTTGTGGCATTCTCCCTCCCCACCCCAATTTGAATTTGCTCGCTTGGTTCCCATTTTCTGTGCTACCCCACAGTGGGGAGCAGGAATGGAGGCAGTACGGAGACTTGAGTCTCTGCTGGCTAATCCTAGGAAACGTGCAAGGCCCCAGAGCTGACTGTGCCCTACCCAGCCTTGGAGCTGAAAGTGAACCAAGGGCACGTGTGCTCCACAGCTCCAGGTGCCCAACTGGGGCAGCTTCAGAGGATGGAATACCTTTACCCCTGTCAAGTAGGCCCAGGGCACCTGGAGAACATGGGACCTGAGGGTGAGGGTTCCTCCTACCTTCCTGTGGGTGTTGTGATCCATGTAGTTCTCTCCAATATGTATGTTGAGAAACATGTCATTCATCCAGGCTTCTTTCATCTTTACCACATGTGCAAGCTGAGACTGGCACTGCTGCTCCCAGGGACAGATGGCCGTTACTGCTGAGGTGCTCAAAGGGGTGGCCTGGGACGTTTGGCTTCCATTCCTCCCCGGAAGCGTGGGGAGTTTGGGAGTGAGACCTGGACTCGTCTTGTTTAAATAACTGGTGTCGGAGTAAATAGATGTCTGTCACTCTGTGTTTTGTTTTGTTACTTTTTATTATGGGAAATTTTAACATTCAAATGAAGAGCATAGGGTATAATGAATCTCCATTTGCCTGTATTTACCATTTCATGACCATTCTTATTTCCTCTACACTCCTTCACTCTTCTTTCCCCCCAGATTGTTTTGAAGCAAACCTCGGGCATCATCTTACCATTTCATTTCAAAGTATTTTAGTATCCCTAAAAGATAGTTCTTTTAAAAAAAGAAACTACAATACCATTATCGTGCCCCAAAACTGTACTTCATCAAATATCCAGTGTTCAAATTTCCCTGATTGTATCCTAAATGTTTTGTTTTACAGCATGTATATTTGGGTAAGGTTCAAGGGAAAGACAGCACACTACAAATAGTTGTCTCTTGAGTCCCTTATTCTAAATTACCATTATTGCACCAATATATGCTTTATATGTATATACTTTAAACTTTATTTTTAATGTGTCAGCAATTTATACACGTATTATCATCTTGAGAACACAAACAACATAACATGGAGGAAGAGTGAGAACATAGGTTCCCAGTACTTAGTCACTAATGATTGTGGAGAGTTTCCTTTTAGGCTTTTTTCTCTTTTTTTTCTTTTGAGAGAGTGAGAGAGCGAGCGTGCATGTGTGAGTGGGGGAGGGGCAGGAAGAGGCAGGAAGAGAGAGGAAGAGAGGGACAGAATCCCAAGCAGGCTCCGCACTGTTAGCACAGAGCCCAGCATGGGGCTCCCATCTCATGAACCGCAAGATCATGACCTGAGACGAAATCAAAAACCGAATGCCCAACTGACTTAGCGAACTAGGTGCCCCTGTTTTCTATTTAAAATGTTAATTTAAAGATGTCCTGCCATGGCTCTGCAAGCATAGAGCTGCCGGAAGGGGAGTACAATGAAAACAAAATGGACCCAAAGTTAGGAAGAGATAAAGAAGCAGAGTCAAGAGAGAATAGACGTTGAAACTAAATATAAGGATTTCCTCCATTCAGATTGCTAGCCTCAGTCTTCACCTGGGCTGCTGGAGCAAAATACCACGGATGGGATGGTTTATTGGCAACAAACATTGATCTCTCTCAGTTCTGGAGGCTGGGAGTCTGAGATCAGGGTGCCAGCAGAATGAGGTTCTGGAGAAGGTGCTCTTCTGGTTGCAGGCAGCTGACTTCTCAGACCCTTACATGGCAGAAAGTAAGTAAACTCTGTGGCCTCTTAGGAGGGCACTAGTCCTATTCATGATGCTCCACACTCATGACCTAATCACCTCCCACAGACCCTACCTCCAAATACTGTCACATTAAGGATTAGATATCAGCATGGATTTTGAGGAACACATTTAGTCCATAAGGGCATCCAAGTAAGTGCTAAGAAATTATATCTTCCAACCCCACCCTCACCCTAACAGACAGTCTTCAGATTGTCCTTTAATTAACCAAATTGATGGGCCCCATTCATCTGAGAAGGAACAACCTCCTCACAGCACTGTACCCGGAAAGGGGGCAGAGGGAAGGAAAAGTGGTGGGACGGCAACCTGCTTTTGAGGTTCTCTAGGTGTTGGGTAGTAGAGCCTTCGCTTTGGGAAGCCTGTCAATTAGCTGGAGCTATGGCCCTTCAACTTTATAAATGATGCTGTAACATATTTCTACTGAAGAACTGCAAGATTCACCAAAAAATGTTTACAGAAAGGGACCAGATACCCAGGCAGTATGGCAACGTGGGTATTGATCATGAGCTGAGTGCCTTCGAACTCTCTGCTCCACAGGTTAGGTTAGAAACTCCAAACCCATGACTTTTGATTGAACAATGGGGCCAATACCAAGTGAAGCTTTGCTTCACGTGTGACAACAGGATGGAGCTACAAGAAAACAAACACTTCCGTAGAATATAACTGAGAAGCCCCTTGAACTTCCTTCAACCAAGCCATACCTACTGGCCAAAGATGTTGTGCTTTTCAACCGACAGAGGATAGTGGAGATGCCATTGATGCCACCTTTTACCATAGGAAGGGACATGTGAATGTACAAGAAGGTGATGGAGCTGCGGTCAGCACTGGATGTAGCGGATGCAGCAGGATAAAGAAGGATACAGAGCAGTGCCAAGAAAGGTTAACTTTCTCCATCCCTATCCCTGCCCAAATTCTGGATTTATAAGCACTCAGGTCATTCTATCCACTTTCAGAGAATTGGCTTAGGGGAGAAAGAAATGCAGAGATTTTTTGTCTCCTGAAATTGCTAAATAGGACTTCACAAAGAGGTATATGAGGGTCTGAGATGACTGAAAAAATTTGAATTTAGAAGGTGGAGAATTTTATAGGCATTCGAGTCACTTCTCCCTGGGCTGCTGAGCCATTCACAGTAAACCACAGGTATGGTAAGTCCCACTATTCTCGCCTTGTTAGTGAGCAGGAGACAGCAGATACATAGCAAGTAACATAACAAGTATGATATCAAATTACATAAACCAGCTTGCAATGGTAAAGTTAAGAAAAAGACTGTCCAGTAGTTTTAGTTCTGGGACAGAGAAGGGTTTCCAATTTAAAGATTTGTGTCCCCAGAGTCATGAGTCCTTTTTTTGTTTGTTTAATTTTTCATATTTTATTCCTAGTATTAATAGGTTAAGAAAGTAGAATTTCCCAATTATTGATTTATACTGTTTATAAACACACAAAGTGCTCAATTTCACAAATAGTGATATTCACTGATCTCTTTAAATGTAATTTCAATCCTTATTTTGAGTGTAATAATAATTTAATACCTAAACACACACAAAATATGTATATCCTGAACTACAGGAAGTTGAGGAAGTGGTTTCCATAAACCATATTTGATTTTAATCAAGTACACATTTTCACAATCAACAACTGCTAACAAATATGTTAATAAAACACTACCCCAAATGCTTATTCTGGCATCAGCGTTTTAAGCAATTCCATTCCAACTACTGCTAAAAACATGTATTTTAGAAGCTTTAATCTGATCCAGGAAAATGAGTTCTACAACTTGACAAATATTATTGTCTAAGCCCCAGAGCTTTTAAGTCAAAAAAGCCTTCCAACACAAGCATTCACGTGAAATTTAGTTTCTCCCCAAAATCACTTGCTATCTAAAGAAAAGGACATGGAAGGCAATTATCTTTTTTTTTTTTTGAAAGTTTATTTATTTTGAGAGAGAGAGAGAGAGAGTGAGCGAGCATGTGTGTGAGTCAGGGAGGGGGAGAGAGAATCCCAAGCAGGCTCTACACCCAATGCATTACATGCTCAACCAACTGAGCCACCCAGGTGTCCCTGAAGAAAATTATCTTTTAAGGCAGATAAACAGTAGTACAAAAGACTATATTCCCATATCATCTACTTAAGAGAAACACAAACCAGTTTACTATCTTTTGTTAAATTTTTTATTTAAATCCCAGTTAGATATTAGTTGCGGGTGTACATTATAGTGATTAAACCATTTAGTATCCTTAATAATCTGTTAGATTACTGTTGCTAGGAACTTGGGTTCAGGTATCACAGGGTAAAGGTGACATTTAGATTTCACATATTAAATAGCTATAGTAGGGGCAGGTGGTTAAATAGTTACATATTTATATATAATATATGATAACATTAAATAGTTATAGTAGGGGCTCAGTCAGTTAAGTGTCTGATTTCAGCTCAGGTCATGATCTCAAGGTTTGTGAGTTTGAGCCCCACGTGGGGTCTCTGCTGTCAGCACAGAGCCTGCTTCAGATCCTCTGTCCCCCTCTCTCTCTGTCCCTCCCCTGCTCGTGCTTCCTCTATCAAAAATAAATCACTTAAAAAAAATAAAAACAAATAGCTATAGTATAGCTTACAATGGCACAAAGTCATCTAATATAAGTACTACTTCATCATTTAGATAGTCAAAAGTCAGAAGGAACTGTGTGGTTTGCAAGATAATTTAACTTTTGTGTGGTCATTAAAACCCAATGAGTAATCAAGTATGGTATTACCAAAGCAGGCAATTAAAATCTCAAATATCACTCTAAAATTGAAGACATGAAAATTTTGTTTCTCCATCTTTCAATTACACGGATCTTACTGTAGAAAATATTCAGTTATTATATATGGTTTCCACACAAGATACTGAAGCTTCATAAATTACAAAAAGTGTCAAGATCCATAGTAGGCTTCGTCAAATTATTTTTCAGCTCGTTTCAAATTTTCATTCACAGTAATCACGAGTAACCTTAGCAAACTTCCCTGGGTCCTTTCAAATCAAAAAGATGAATCCTCAACTTGTACTTACCTTGTCTTTCATTTGACATTCCCTTGTGCGTCGTTTCAGAATGAACTCTATGGCAATGTCTTCAAGAATATGCACGGTCTTAGTGTAAGTATTCCAATCATCCGGGGTACCTGGGTGGCTCAGTTGGTTGAGTGTCTGACTCTTGACTTTGGCTCTGGTCGTGATCTCACAGTTTGTGAGATGGAGCCCCGTATGGGTCTTGGCACTGACAGTGTGGAACCTGCTTGGGATTCTCTCTCTCTCAAAAATAAATAAACATTAAAAAAAAGTATTCTGATCATCCACCAAACAAATGCATTATATATTGCAATTCTTTAGAAAAAGTCTTCTCTGTACCTCCGCCATTTTCTTCATCAAACACGGGGTTTTCTATCCTATCTTCTCAAGGTCATTTTTATTCTTCAAGTCTGTTCTTGGTGTTCTGCCAAGGCTATTCAGTCCTGGACTTAGTTGGATGGCTGTGGTGCCAGGTTTGGAACAGAGCTGGAAGCAGTGCCAAAGTCTCCCCAAGTCATTTCTCAGAGACTGGAGCTGGTGTTATGACAAGAATGGGAGAAGCCTAGGATATCTATGTCACTGCCTCCATGGTTAGATTTGGAATGGGTGGTGGGGGCAACATGACTGCTCGTGGCAACCTCTGAGGATGGAGGGGGAAATAGTGACTTTGCCTCCAGGTGGGGCTAGGAGTAAACTTAAACTCCCAGTGCTAAGTTTAGTAGTCCTGGGCTTAGAAACATATCATCTCTTGGTTGCAATGTTACTATTACTCAACTTGGTGATCTGTCCTTCCTTGAAGCCCAGATCTAATTTGGGATGAATGTCTAGTTCTTGAGATTCTTTGGACATCTTAGATACTTGCTTTACCTACTTGAGGTGATTTTGCAGAAGGATGTTAAAGTCAAAGGCATCACCCCGATCTATGAAGTAAATGTCAATGAAAGCACTATGCCCAGTGTAGTCCCAGAACACAGTAGAAGCTGGAATCTGCCCCTATCTCCTCATCAATGGTAAGATATTGTTTTTTGTTGGTCCCCAAGCAAGGAGCTCCTGTGATATTTTATACTTGAGTTGATAGGCAACCTTTCATTTTGAAGTGATTTGGAGGTGCCCAGTCTAAGCAGGCTGGCCCAAATTCCAGCCTGTATCTGCTGTAGGAGGCCCTGGGCAAAATCTGGTAGATGTTGACATCTAGCTTCATACACAGGTCAAGTCTTGTATTTCCACCTTGCTGCTATATTGGCCCTGCTCTCCATGCCTGTTAAATCTCTTTTAATCTCTCGGTTCTTAATTTCTTTTTTTTTTTAAGTTTGTTTATTTATTTTGAGAGAGACAGAGTGTGAGCAGGGGAGGGGCAGAGAGAGAGACAGAGAGAGAGAGAGAGAGAGAGAGAGGGAGAGAGGGAATCTCAAGCAGGCTCCACACTGTGAGTGCAGAGCCTGACACCGGGCTCCAACCCACAAAACTGTGAGATCATGACCTGAGCTGAAATCAAGAGTCAGATGCTCAACTGACTGAGCCACCCAGGTGCCTCTCTAGGTTCTTTATTACTTGATTTTTCCATATAATTTATTTGTCAAAGGAACTGTTTCTCAGAGTTTGAATTTAAAATACATTCTCATGGTGTTAATAGGTTCCTTTGCCTTTCACATTTCCTATAAATTGTTAGCTTTTCCTATAAATCACAGCTGTGATTCTCAAAGTATGATTCTCTGGCCACCAGCACCAGCACCACCTGGAAACTTGTAAGATATGTTAATTCCTACCCCACCAGAGGGGCTGGTCATCAAAGCCAGCATCCCATGGCCTTGGGAGGCTTAGCATCCCATTTTTGAAGTCATCAGTTGAAGAAACAATGTCAAAACAACTGGGGTAGGGAGGGGTAAAATATTGGTGAGGTAGTAGTTGGTCTCTTGATGGGATGACATGCAAGTATTTCTAGGTTTCAATCAATGAAAAATTTAAAAACTTTTTTTTTGCATCATATCAAAACAAATGGAATGGTAGACTTATGGTTAAACAGTTAGCTTAGTTGATTTAATGTACTGTGAAAACTGTATGACTACTGAGGGTCCAAGTTTCCCTGCCTTTCTTGGAGAAGTGAGAGGACAAGTGTTCACTAGGTTATCAAATCTTGACACTTTCTAGATGACAAGGTAGCTCAGATATGGAAGACCCTCTCCTGGAGTCTTAGATCACCTAGGTACTTAGCAGCTGAGAACACCTGGTTTAGAAGACCCTTGGCTGGGTCCTTCACCTGCAGCAATGGCTTGTCAAGTTTCTGTAGAGAGTTGAAAGCCAGGCCTGTTTTCCCTTCTAATCTTAATGGAAAGAGCTAGCCCAGGACTGGCTGTTCTAGAAGATAGTGAGAACCTATGCAAACAATTGAGCAAGGACCAATAGGTGAAACTCAAGTTTTGTGAACTTGTGGAGTAAATACAGCTTGCCTACCAAATTGTGAAATCAAACTTTGTTTTCCAAAGTCTCAGTGGACAAAATCTAAGATAAATTACTTTAGACCCATATGGACACTCCTTTGTTAAAAAAAAATGCTGTAAATATTTGTTAACACTCATGGAACAGACTGCCAGAAGAGAATGGATTTTACTGTAAATTAACTTTTTAAAATGGATTAAAAAAGAAAAAGAGCACTTAGACGCTTAATACAATGATAAAACACAAGTAGTTGACCACAACTTGTTAGAGTTTTCCTATATATTTACACAATGATATAGGAAATTCATTTTTCAGTGGGAAAAAATCCTAACTATTTTATAAAGTAGGTAGTTGGACTCCTGTTTTTGTTTTTGTTTTTGTTTTTTTTATGTAGTTTTGAGAGAACCTGAGTGGGGTAGGGGCAAAGAGAAAGGGGGACAGAGGATTTGAAGCAGGCTGTACGATGACATCAGTGAGCCAGATGCAGGGCTCGAACTCATGAATGTGGGATTATGACCTGAGCCAAAGTTGGACACTCAACTGACTGAGTCACCCAAGTGCCCTTGGGCTCCTGTTTTAAATGAAGACATGTTTTCTGAAAAAGAAACATCCCCCCTGACACTAGGTCAGTGGGGATATAGAATGACTTGGGGTGCAGAGGCTGGAACTTACTTATCCATTCTACTCTTGATGGACATCTGGGTTGATTCCAAGTTTGAGCACCTATAAACTACGCAATGTAAATATCCTTGTTTACTTGGCCTGGTACACATGTACAAAAGTGAAATTGCTTAGTCATTTTGATGAGGGAGTGTAGGGCAAGCGGAGGGCAAAATACAGGCTAACAGCACCCCCCACCCCAGGAAAATATGTGGGATATTGCTCGGACACTCCTGGCTACCCAAGAACAAAGCAAAGGGGTTTAAGTGCTTGCCATGGTAATGTGGGAAACTAAGGCAAATGAAAAATTGAATTTCTTTACTGCCTACAGCCCACTGACAGGTCCTTGAAACCTGCAGAGTCACCTCCCTCTAGGAGCTCAGCTACCTCAGGATGACACTTTGCTAGGGGCAAAAGAGAATCTTAGCTTTACATTATCCCAACCTCAGGGATCCTGTAAATCTACTTCCTTTATCTCAACTGCCCCAAAATATATGCTGGCAATCATGCTCCAAGCTTATAGTCTCCTGATGTGCATATGAAGGGTCTCATGACTGAGGTTTTATTAAACAGTAATAAGTGGTGTTTCCCTGGCAACAGCTAGCCCCTCAAGGTCCTGGAAACCTTGTTCCCAAAATACCTTAGAGACTTCATCCCTCACCCCCTCCCAACCTGAGGGTATATGAGTTACCCATCACACCCCCAGTGCAGCCCTTTCTGCCCATGGGTCTGTCCCCATGCCTTAATAAAATCACCATTTTTGCACCAAAGACATCTTCAAGAATTCTTTCTTGGCTGTTGGCTACAGACCCCATGAACCCCCCCTATCGCCCCAAAACTTCATTAATTTGGTATGTGTATTTTCATCCTTATTAACTATCTCCACATTGTTCTTGCAGAGTGGCTGTCCTGGTTTACAATCCCAGACCAGGATGGATCTCCTTGCCTGGATTCAAGTGCTCCCCTGTAGAGAGTGGGGGAAAATAAGTGTTAGGAAGAACAAGGAAGTTTGGCAAGGAAAGGCCTTGGGTGCCAATCCAAGGAGCTCAGACTTCATTTGACTGCCCTGGAAATCCTCTGGTGATTTTGGAACAGAGAACAAAATGCAAAAATGCGGTTTTAGGAAGGTGACCCTTTAAAGCTGACAGTTGGTTTGTGTTGTGGGGAGAGTGGGGATGGTCATGGGGCTGGCTTAGGCCAGCAGCAGGACTCAAGTTCACAAGACAGAGATTTGTGGGGTGAATGTGCAAAGGGGGAACTGAGCAAATGCCATGGGACAAGAGATCTGGACCATACCAGCTCTACCAATGCTTGTCCTTGAATAATCCCATTAGACCATTGCACACTGCTGGTGGGGGTATGCTTACCACATTCCTTCTGGAAAACACTGTGTCATTATTTAGCAAAGATGAAGATGCAGATACCTAATGATCAGAAGTCCCAAAATATACCAAAACAAACAGGCAAACAAAACCACTTCGAGACGAGGGACTTCAGGAAGGAAGGAATTTTCAACAATGTCAAAGGTAACAGGCCCGTCAAGAAAAGCCCTGAAAAGCATCCACAGACTTCGGCTATCAGGAGTCTGATGATGAGTTTTGCCAGAGAAATGTTTGTGACATGGTAGGAACAAAATGCAGAGCAGAGTGGTTTGAGGGCAGAGCAGATGGTAGCAAAAGGTAACTGCGTGTGTGACGTGCTGTCGGGATGGTTGGCTGAGCACAGACTCAGCACACAGGAACATTTGGGATGTGATAAAAGCAGCATTTCAAACTAGTGGATAGAGGATACATAATTTGACAAATGGTGATGTAACACAGGGGAACAATAATAAAGTTAAATCCTTGTCTTAAATTCAAGTCAGACGGCTTTTAGAACTAGATGGAAATATAGGTGTACTTAAACCTGGTGGTGGTTAAAATGTTTCTGAGACTGGCAACAAAACTAAAACCTTAAAGGAAAATATGGATAAATTTGACCTCATTAAAGCATGCATGCACACACGTGCACTGGACCTCCTGGAAAAGAAGGAAAGGTCACTGACAAAATTGAATAACAAATGACAAATACAGAAAAATATTTACAATAGATGATAAATAATTCTTATGCATAAATAAGAAAAAAGAGAAACACACTGATATAAGCATAACTACGAATAGCAATTCACAAAAACTCCAATTGTTTCATATTAGCTGCAAAAAAGTCAACCTCAGTAGGAATCAAAAACTCTAGTTCGAGATGAACTGAACTCTTACATTTACTTCTCTTCCCTCCCTAAGTTCATCTGAAATTACTTTTTTTTTCAATGAAATAAAGGAAAGAAAAGGGAAAAAATTCCAAAGCAGTGCTGGAAAACAAGTAGAGTAGTTATCCCTTACCCATGGGGTACATATTCCAAGACCCCCAGTGGAGGCCTGAACTGCAGATAGTACCAGGCCCTGTATATACTGTTTTTTCCTATATATAACATACCTATGATAAAGTTTAATTTATCAATTAAGCACAGTAGGATATTAATAACAACAATAATAAAATAAGACAACTATAGTAATATACTATAATGAAAGTCATATCAATGTGGTCTTTCTCTCTCTCAAAATAGCTTATGGTATGGTACTCACGCTTCTTCTTGTGATGCTGTGAGATGATATCAGGCCCACGTGATGAGATGAAGTGAAGTGAAAGACGTAGGCACTGTGACATACCGTTAGGCTACTTCTGACCTGCTGATAAAGGAGGATCACCTGCTTCTGGACCACAGATGACTGCAGGTAATTGAAACTGCAGAAAGTGAAACTGTGGGTAAGGAGGACTCCTATACAGTAGATTCTTTGGGATCTGACACCCAGCACCTTGTCCCTTTGGCAGGAAAGTCCTCCAGCCCCACTCTGTTCATGTGGTTCATGAGGGACTGCCATGTTCTTGCAGAGTCAGCTTCCTAGCCGTGGCTGAATGACCCAGGCTTGGGCACAGTTAGGGGAGGGGATGCCTCTCACTCACACCTCCCTTACCTTGTGTTCTATTTTATGGCACAAACACATCATAGTCAATTGGAAGACCAAATATAGCTTTACCGGTTGGTAAAGACTTAGAAACCTTGTGGTACATTCTTGGATAGGCTCTCTTAAGATCCCTTTTGCCCTCCTTTTTATTTAATTTTTTTCTCACATTTATATTTATTTTGAGAGAGACAGAGAAAGAGAGCAAGCAGGGGAGGGGCAGAGAGAAAGGGAAAGAGAGAATCCCAAGCAGGCCCTGTGCTGTCAGCACAGAGCCTGTCTTGGGGCTCTATCTCACCAACCGTGAGATCATGACCTGAGCCAAAATCAAGTGGGATGTTTAACCGACTGAGCCACTCAGGCGCCCCTCCTTTTCGCCTTCCTAATTGCACAGATTGGAAAGCCCCAAACCTTATTTCTCAGTATCCATTGCTGTTAGAGTTCTGGATATAAACTGGGTTCTACCAATTGACTATGCTTGCATCACATTTGCTGAGGAATCTGCCTCCTAACATGGAGAAAAGAGGGAGTCACCTGAGAATTAGGTAGAGTAGGAAACCCTGCAGCTCTGAGACAGTGGGCATCATGGCAGCCAGTGGCAGTGGGGACACTTTGGGCGTGTGCCCCACAGTCCACCCTGCCTGTCCCTTTGTTCACACACAGCAATCGAATGGCTGTTTTCCTACAACAAGGCAGAAAGGCTCTCAAAGTAAATAAGAACTCTTGGAATAACGTTTTTTGTTTTAAGCCAAAAAAATGTAAATAAGAATGTGCATTGGTTGACAGCGAAGGTGGCATTAGAGCTGGACAGAGCAACAGTCAAGTGCTCCAGGGAACTCTCGGTGGACACTGGACACAAGCAGGACAGCACTCTGCTGCCAGGGCAGTTCCCTCCCCATTTCTTTTATCTGGAAAGATCCTCAGCCTGCAAACCTGACCCCTTTGTGCATCCTGGAGGGAAAGCTATCTGCCCATACCTTCCTGTCCCCTCACTAACCCAGGGTGAACCTCACCCTCTAAGTCCTGCATGAAGTGAAAAACAAAAACTAAAATAAAAAACTAAAATATCTGAACTAAATATCCAAATGATTTAAACAAAACCTGGGTGGGTGGAAACCAAAGGGTTTCAGTAGAACGCTTGGTGGTAACAGCCCAACGGGCCTTAGCCCCTCTGCTACCATCCACTCTGAGTCCGATCACTCCGTTCTTGCACAAAGTCCCATTTCCCATTCCTTTGAGCTCAGACACATTTGCTGATATTTATGTCTCTCCCTAGAATGGCCCAAACCTTTTCCTCCCCAAACTTAGTGTGTACAAGGGAAACTGCATTCTTCCACCAGTTAGGTCTTTATTTTTACAGCTTCTTCCCTCTGCCTCATATACACCCTTGTTCTGCTGTTCCAAATCCCACCCCTACCCTTTCCCTTCACTGTCCTTCTGAGGCCATTTTCTCCATGAAGTGTTTCTTTAACACACAGGGCCTAAGCTAGGGCCTGGGCCCTCCGAGACAAGCAACGATCATTTGTGAAATGAGCCAGTCCTCCAAACACATATGATTTTTTCTTACCGAAACCCTCCTTCCCTTTGTGCTTTTTTTATGGGGCCTTGCACTTTTCTGCTTGTGCTTTTGTCTAATTTCTGATGTGCTAGAGACTCCATGAGGCTGGACACTGTACCTTCTGGGCCAGGGTATCCTGATGTGCCCAAGATGGAGGGGTCCCCTGGCTTGTTGTTCTTTCAGAGCTAAAACCAGGAAAGTGTCAGACAAACCAAGCTGAATCTGTTATCCTAGTCTTGCTAGTCTTTGATTCCATGGATTGTGGAAAGAAACTAGGATGTAGGGTTAATATTATGGCTCAGACATGGTCTCCAAAATATATGCCCATATGTCTGCTACATGTGTGGCTTTTCCATTGGGGGAAACCTCAGTGAGCTGGAAATAGAGGGAGGACTTTATACCAGAAGATAAAATTCCTATCTGAAAGAGAAGGTAAACCCTGAAATATGGATCTGAAGACCTTCAGTAAATCTACAATAGGGCCTGAGTAAGAAGAGGGGTGGAGTTCATTTTTTAATGGAGCTTCCAACCCCGGCTCTTCCTCCTACATCTATGAGTCCATGGGCTACTATTACACTCTCTGAGGCTCAGTTTCTATATCTGCAAGATTTCATCTGGGGATGAAAATCCTTACCTGGCAGGACTATTGAGAGTTAAATAAGGGAAGGTGTATGTGTCACCAGGCCCAACACTTGGTGTCTAGAGATGCCTAAGCACTGGAGATTTCAGCATGCTCCTCTTCCTCCCCCCTCCTGTGTTCTAAAACTCCAACCCTGTGTGCCCACACCCCAGCCCTGTGTGCCCCCACCCAAACCCTGTGTACCCACACCCCCACCCTATGTACCCACACCCAACCTTATGTGCCCACATCCCAACCCTGTGTACTCATACCCCAATCCTGTGTACACACACCCCCAACCCACACCCCCAACACTGTGTGCTCACTGCTGTGTGCCCACACCACAACCCTGTATCCCCCCCACACACACTGTGTGCCCATACCCCCAACCCTGTGTGCTCATACCCCCCAACCCTGGGTGTGTACACCCCAACCCTATGTACACACACCCCCTAATGCTGTGTGCTCACTGCCCAACCCTGTGCCACACCCCAACACTGTGTGCCCACACCCTAACCCTGTGTACACACCCTGATACCATATGTTCACACCCCCCTGACCCTGTGTGCCCACCCCCAACCCTGTGTACACACACCCCCAACGCTGTGTGCCCACACCCTAACCCTGTGTACACACCCCAATACCGTATGCTCACACCCCCCAACCCTGTGTGCCCACCCCAACCCTGTGTGCCAGCACCCCAACCCTGTGTATACCCCCAACACTATGTGCCTGCACCCTCAACCTTGTGTACACACCCACCAACCCTGTGTGCCTGCACCCCAACCATGTGTACACAAACCACCAATTCTGTGTGCCTGCACCCCCAATACTGTATGCCCACATCCCCATTGCTGTGTGCCCACACCCAACAACCCTGTGTACACACCCCCAGGCCCTGTGTTCACACCCCCAACCCTGGATGCCCACACCCCCAACCTGCTGTGTCTGTATCTGAACCCTGTGTGTTCACACCCCTCGACCCTGTGTACACCCCCCAATCCTCTGTGTCCACACTCCCAACCCTGTGTGCCCACCCTCCAACCCTGTGTGCACACCCGCCCAACCCTGTGTGTCCACACCCTGAACCCTGTATGCACGCCTGCATCTCCCAACACTGTGTGCCCACCTCCAACCCTGTGTGCCCACATCCCCCAACACTGTGTCCCCATACCCCCCAACCCTGTGTGTCTACCCCTCAACACCATGTGCCCTCACTGCAACACTGTGTCCCTCCCCCACACCATGTGCATGCCCCCACTACCGCTTCTTTTCCCTCACTTCCCACTCACTGTCTTGTCCTCTTCCCACCGATTGCTCCCTCAGTATATCTTTCCTACTTACAAAGCAGTTAAAATGAGGGCAAAAATCAGCACAAAACAGAAAATCACAAAGTACACCTTTTTCTTGTAAGGTTTGATTTGCTCAAATGTCTGCTTCATTTCTCTTGTTCATATCCTTCTCTGAAGAGTCAGGAATTGGGGTTTGCAGAGCTGGAGGGGCTGTGGGATATGGAACGTTCTCCTTAGCTTCAGGCCTCTGAAGAGAAGAGGCAAACAATCTGCCATTTCCCCAGAGGATTATCTCTTTTAGAGGAGCTGATTCTCTTGGGGTAAATGCCTGAGCAGGCTCATTGTGCTTGGGCAAGCTAAACCGTCAACAATAAACCTCCCTAGGACACGCTGATTAGATAAACCAATAAGAATTACAGAAAACACAGACATTAGATTAAAAAACTTAAAATGAGTGTTACTTTTACAGTGTCTGTGAATAGACAAAGACTTTTGTTCTAAAATAGTTTGTGAGGCAATAGAGGAGGGACTATGTTAGTAGCAGAGGCAGAAAGAAGGAGAGGTGGGTGGGTTCCAACTGCAAGGCCAACCCTAAAGGATTGGATTCAAGGGCCCCAGAGCAACAGGCCAGTGCACCTGGGTGAGTAGAGTGGATTTTAAATATATGGAGTTAACAGCTTGACTGTAGGTTCTGGTTTTGGGATGTGAATGAATGAACCCAGTAGAATAGGCAGGAATCTCCAAGCCCACAGAAGGTCAAGTGAGAATTTTGCTGCTTTTTGCTAAAGGCCTGTGCAAGATTTAGAGAGCAAAGATAAGGAACAGCCTGATGTTCAAATTAATTTTTAACTATTTCAACATAGCGAAAGACAAGTCAGATAATGACCAGGTTGTCCTGTGGTAGTGCTGCTATTCTGTGTTCCCCTGTCCCCACCTTTGGAGAGGGGAGCATCCATGCGCGTGTGAGGTCAGACCTGCACTGAGGGTCTGAGATCTAGATCTAGTCATATCCTCTGCATGGAGCTCCAACTACCCTTCTCAAATCCATGCTTTTCAGCCATGGAAGTCACAATGGTTGGTCCTGTGTTTACTTCAAGCTTCTTCCAATTCAATAAGAGTTATTTTCAGCATCTTCTTGAAGGTTCCTAAGAGTCCAGGAAACATGAGACTTGTATAAAAATCCCCACATCAACTAAGAGTTCCCACCCGAAGGAGGCATCCTTTGCCAAGGATCTGCTTCTTGGGCTCTAGGGAATTAGAGGCAGGTGATAAATGAGAAACCAGGGAGCCGGTCCTCATCTGT